CTTTTCTTTAAATATATGTCTATTTTAGTTATTTTGGGGGTTTAAATAGATAATAGTAAATTCTACCGAAATAGTAATGTTACATTATGAATTAATATAGTTGTTTTTGTTAATAAATCTACCATTATCTCAAGTCTTGAAAATCAGCTTTTCAACCCATTCTTAGTCTACATTATACATCCTCAAGTTCTGTGGCTCTCCAAGACATAGATATGTATATGAGTAGGTAAAATGCTTTCTGCTTACACTATAGTTGATGATATACATATTTTATAGTGTTATTATATATAATTATATGTTAAGTGAGCAGTCATGGTCTTCATACTTGTACTCCGAAGAATGATACAGCCATACCGCTGATCATTAGTGTGTGTGTGTTTGTGTGTGTGTGTGTGTGTGTGTGTGTAAATTTTTTTTTTTGGCCAAATCAGAGGCAGGAGCAGAGAGTTCTAAGGGAGTTCCAGGTAGGAGAGTGGGAGTGAGTGGGGCTGAGTACTTGAGAGAATGGGAATGAGTGTAGGTTTGGGTCCCAGAGGAGGTGGGATTTGAGTCAGACCTTGAAACAGTTAGATCTCCCCTTTCTGGGAGAGTTTAATTGCAATGTGGAGGCCAAGAAAGATGTCATAATGGGCTCCTGTAGTCTGAAGCAGACCGTTCCACAGTCCCTTTTTAAGCCTGCAAAGTGCTTTGTGGTCTTTGAAATCTGCACCCTGAATGTAAGGTCATGGCAGCCCTGCAATTAAAATGATAATCACAGCTTGTATGGTCCATCAACCATGAGCCTTAGAAATAGCCTTCTTCCTTTGAGGTGTCACCTCATTGTTCCTGCCCTGATGGGCTCAGCAGAGCCTGGACTGGTCCAAGGCACTCAGTCAATTACATCTTGACACAGTGGCTGGGCCTACGTGAGGCCAGGCAGGCGCCAGGTGGGAGCAAAGGAAAAAGGCCCTGAGGAACAGACAGCTGCAGGTGGGGGCCAAGACTGCCTCCAGTGCAAGCCCCTAACGAGGCGCCCTTCATTCGGTGGCCGCTCATTCCGTGGCAAGTCCACGCAGGACCATCACAGGGGATGTAGCATCTGTCATTGTTTTTTTGAGCAGGCTCAGGCTCCCTGAACATTTTAGGAATGAGGACTTTCTAGGTAATTGAATGTCTGATTTGTTGATACTTCACAGACATTTGTTCTTTTAATGTTGGATAGCTTTTTAAATATTGACCACTAGGTAAGGCTATGACTCCCTTTCTGTTGATTGAGCCCATTTTTCTGCTTTACGAAGAGCACACGGGTTGCGGGATGGGGGTTCAGAATGGACCTGGGCCATCTTTCTATTGGTGAAGATCAGGGGCTGCAGATAGTGATGTAGGTTGACTCAGCACATCCCACGGAGCTTTTTAAAACCTAATTCCTGATATTGACATGTGGTGGTTTTTACTTATTTGCTGCTTTTGCCTATAAATAGAGTTCTAGCAAAATGAGATGTGGTGGGCAGACTCTTAAGGTGGCCCCATGATCCCAGCCTCCTCTGTTCATACTCTGTAGAATCCCTTCCACTGAGTGTGAATGGGACCTGTGACTCACTTCCAACCAAGAGAATATAGCAAAGGTGACAGGTATACATGATGATGTATACCACATTATGTTACATGAGGTGGCAGCACTTGTCTTGCTAGACTTTTTTCCTCCGTTTTTAGCTTGGAGGAGGCAAGTGGCCATGCTGGAGAACCCCACGTGGCAAGGACAGCAGATGACCCCTAGGTGTTGAGAGTGGTTTCTGGCCAACATCCAGCAAGAAACAAGCTTTCAGTTCTGTGACTGCAAAAAGCTGACTTCTGCCTACAACCCATGTCACCCTGTAAGTGATCCTTCTCCAGTCAGGCCTCCAGTGAGACCACAATCTTGGCCAACCCCTTGACGGCAGCCATGTGAGACCCTGAGCCAAGGACTCGGTTAAGCCGAGCCCAGACTCCTGGCTTACAGATACTGTGATATAATAAATATGTGTTCTTTTAAGTCACTAAGTTTGTAGTATTTTGTTAAGCAGCAATAGATTCCTAATTACTGAGGGTTTTGGATAGCTGAGTTCCTACTAACCAGGGTTTTTCTGAATATTGCAACCTTCCTATTGTAATTTAAATCCAGTTCCTCAACAAAAACTGGGACAATGGATCATGATCTTTTATTCAACCTCACGCCAGACATGCAGGCCAAGGTGTCTGCTCATGAGGGGAACAAAGGTTATGCCTGCTGACCATATCAGTCCCCTTAGCCTTTCCTCACCAAATCCTTTCCTGAAATTAGGATCATTTTCGCAAGTGGCATGCACCTACTTTAAGGAACTCAACTTAGTTTATGTGCCACCCCAGACTGACTCACCTCGCCTGCTCCTCAGGCCATATGCCTTGCTCCTTGCTCCCATGGTCATAAAGCCACTGCCACCACTGCCACCAGAGTGGAGATCCTTGTGCCTATGCATTGCTGGGCTGTACCCTCAAAGGCTCTTGCTCCCTGAGAGGCTGGGGGAGGGGCCAGGTGACACTCTCTGTAGAGTGGGGAAGGCAAAGCTTTGACCAATGAGAGATGGGAAGGAGACAAGAGAGAAATTCCTGGCCTTTCTTCTCCTCCCTACAGACTCTGAAATGTGGGGACTTCATGTGGTGTTTCAGGAGACAGCTTATGTGCCCGAGCAATCAGCTGTGTTTGGTTGCAAAGCCGTGGCCAGCCGAGAAATATTGCAGCCTGTCTTTGCTCTCTTCCATCCCCCGCCTTACTTCCCCTTTCCCCTCCCTCCTACTTCCCTAGAGAGTACTGGCACAGCAGGTGTTGCCTCAGGCTCCTAGGTAAGAAACAGCCCACAGTGAAGGCCCTACATTTAATTCTTGATTATGCACTTTGCAGACCTGCCCCTAGCATTTCCTTCTTGGGTTCACGTCATTTGCATACAAGAGTGTTGAAGCTACCTTCTCTCATTTTACTGAAGGAATTCTAAAGACATTTGAATACTGGTTCAAACTCATTGCAATTAGAATGGTAATGGTACTGTCCCCTCCAAAGCAATCTGTAATCTCTATCTCATAGGGTGATTTCATGTAACTAAGTTTTGGGATAATTCATGCTATAGTTCACCCCATGTGGGCCTGATTCCTGAGAGCGCCCTCAAAAGGCTCTGTTGTTATTTATCACACCAGGCGTCCAGCAACATGGTTGATGAGCGTGGCCTCTACCTCCAGAGGTGAACCCAAGGATCCCAAGGCCAGCTCTAGCCACAGAGGAATGGAGGAATGAGAAGATCACCACCAGTTCAATGCAATGGCCACCTTGTATGATAGTGGAGGCTGTGCTTTGCATAACCAGAGGGTACCACTCCTGTAGATTGCAGTATGAATGGAGCCCCTCAGAGCTGTACAACAGGGCAGCTTTGTTTACATAGCCTATAAAAACCCTGCATCCCTGGGGGTCAGTTTGAGTTACATAGCTGCAGGTGGAAGATCATGTGTGTGATTCAGCAAGAAGGTAGGACATTTTGAGATGGACATTTTGAGATGATGAGGCCTCCTCATACAGGTTTCTCTGCCTCAGCAGGGAGCCGCAGAGGCTGGTGACTCCATGGCCCTCAACCAGGCTGGGTGGCCATGGTCCATCCAGATCAGCATCCCTTCCTGTTTCAAGCCTTCCTTTGTTTACTGAAGATGTGGCAAGCCTTTGTGTATCCAGTGCCATGCTGGTATTTGGTGTATAAAATAGAAAAGACAAGCGTGTGGTCTGGTGGGATCTTACAATGATACAAGGTGCAATGGGAGCGGGGAAGGTGGGAGCCGAGGGCTTCCCACAGGAGTTCCCTGAAAGCCCGGAGGAAGTTTGCCAGACAGATATGGGGAGGTGGGGTGCTACTGAAGAGAGAAACGGCATTCTAAGTGGAGGGAACAGCATATGCAAAGGCATGGAGAGATGCTTCTTTGTCGTTTAGGACTCCAGCCTAAGTTTATTTGTTGGAACAAACCTCCTGAGGTTTTTCTCAGCATCAATAGGAATCCACTCAGCCGAGACAAAACTACACTGTTGTCCATTCAATTCAAACACAGTGGGAGAGAGGCAGGGAAAAAGTCAAGGCACCCACCTTGTCCCTTCTGGATACTAATGAGAGAGTGGCCCTATCAGTCACTATTCTGAAGTCTAAAACCCAAGGTGAGGCAAGGCAAAGAGAAAACTTCGGCTCCCGAACATCCTATCTAATCTCCCTGCCCTCTACTATGTCCCCTGTATTCTGCAACTACCTGGGGCTCAGGAGAGTTCAGCACTTGGCCTCTGGCAGCAGTAACATCAGAGATC